TTGGGGCGGTCGCGGGGCAACACCGAGTTTCAGCTCCCTCCATAGATTTTTTATGGGGTTCAGGTCTGGAGACGGGCTAGGCCACTCCAGGACCTTGAAATGCTTCTTACGGAGCCACTCCTTAGTTGCCCCGGCTGTGTGTTTGGGATCATTGTCATGCTGGAAGACCCAGACACGACCCATCTTCAATGCTTTTACTAAGGGAAGGAGGTTGTTGCCCAAAATCTCGCGATACATGGCCCCATCCATCCTCTCCTCAATATGGTGCATTCGTCCTGTCCCCTTTGCAGAAAAAATGAAAAGTTTAAAACAGTTTGAAATGAAAATGTTTAATGTACAATTTCTTTGGAATCGTTCCCAAATAGCCTTTGACTTGAATGCCTGAATTTCAATAAAATCTAACACTTTAGATAAATAAATAAAATAAAAGCACCGAAACACTCGGTTTTATATGCACGACCAGACACTGCTGTCTAAAATGTTGTCATGCTGGATAAAACATTTAGACAAGTTCTTCCACACTAAACTCACTCATCCATGTCCTTATGGACCTTGCTTTGTGCACTGGTGCGCAGTCATGTTGGAACAGGAAGGGGCCATCCCCAAACTGTTTCCACAAAGTTGCAAGCATGAAATTGTCCAAAATGTCTTGGTATGCTGAAGCATTAAGAGTTCCTTTCACTGGAACTAAGGGGCCAAGCCCAGTTCCTGAAAAGCAACTCCACATCATAATCTCCCCTCCACCAAATGTACACTTGGCACAATGCAGTCAGACAAGTACTGTTCTCCTGGCAACCACCAAACCCAGACTCGTCCATCAGATTGCCAGACAGAGAAGCGTGATTCATCACTCCAGAGAACATGTCTTCACTGCTCTAGAGTCCAGTGGCGGCGTGCTTTGCACCACTGCATCCGACGCTTTGCATTGCACTTGGGGATGTAAGGCTTGGATGCAGCTGCTCGACCATGGAACCCCATTACATGAAGCTCTCTACAGACAGTTCTTGAGCTAATCTGAAGGCCACATGAAGTTTGGACATCTGTAGCTATTGACTCTGCAGAAAGTTGGTGACCTCTGTGCACTATGTGTCCCAGCATTCACTGACCCCGCTCTGTGATTTGATGTGGCCTACCACTTTGTGGCTGAGTTGCTGTTGTTCCCAATCACTTCCACTTTGTTATAATACCACTAACAGTTGACTGTGGAATATTTAGTAGCGGGGAAATTTCACGACTAGGCTTATTGCACAGGTGGCATCCTATCACAGTACCACGTGGAGTTCACTGAGCTCCTGAGAGTGACCCATTCATTCACAAATGTTTGTAGAAGCGGTCTGCATGCCTAGGTGATTGATTGACACCTGTAACCATGGAAGTGATTGGAACACCTGAATTCAATGATTTGGATGGGTGAATGAATACTTTTGGCAATATAATGTATGCTGCATATAAGAAACACGTGAAATAACATAGATTTTTGGCTTTTTGTGCTGCTTTAGTTTCAGATTGCTTGTATTGTCCATGCTGACTCATACACTGTCTTGACATATCGGGCCATGCAACACCTGTGTTATCCATTATAAGGAAACATCTGCTGTGAAAAAAGGGCTGTTGCTCAATATGGACCAAGAGCAATATTGCTAACAGTATACATCATTACATTTAATTACACATGCAGTTCAGTAATACTTTACTATGACTGATCAAATAATAAAAAAAAAAAATTGTTTCAAAAAGTTCATTTTAAACTGTTGAACTGGGGCACATCTTATTACATTTGTTTCAAAGCAAATGAATGTTTAATTCCTGCAAATAGAGACAGTGTTCCCCAGCTACAGTACATGCTTCACCAGCAGGTTTTATGAACATGTCGTTGTGAGGAGTGTCAACAGAAGTGTGATCACAGAGCAGTAAGAGGTGCATTTGTGTCATCAGGTTAACTGCAAGTCCAAGGTCATTTGCATTTATGGCCCTCCTTAATCTCACCCAACCTGTTGTTCCTGGCAGTGATGCCTGTGGTGGCTATGTGGTGTTCATGACAGATGGGTGGGGGGGTTGTTACCAGCATTGCAAAAAGTGGCAGTGCCAGTCATTCTCTGACGTTTGACTCTGAGCTCAAGGCATCTTTAAAAAAAAAAATAACAAAGCAAGCAGGGCACAGTGGATGACAAATTCATGGGAAACCAGTGTTAAACATAATGAGGTGATGGGTCACCATTTCCTGCCAGAACAGCCCTTTGCACCGACTCTGAAAGTCTGGAAATCTAATGGAAGAAGGAACACAAATCTTCCAGAAGCTTTTTTTTTCATTTTGGGTTTTGATGACGGTGTTGGAGAGTCCTGTCCAACAAGTCGCTTCAAAATCCTCCATGGGTGCTAAGATATATTGACTGTGAAGACCATAGCACACAGCATTTACATTTACATACTCATCAAATCAGTCAGTTAAACAGGTCAAATACCAATGTTCATTTTAACATCCAGTGCAGCTGTTTTAAAATTCACTTTTCCTGCACATGATCACTACAGTACAGTAGGGAAAAGATTGTGTTATGACAAATAAGCCACATTTAAGATCAGTAAACTAAACAGTTTGGTTAAAGGATAAGGTGGGTCATTTTCTACACTGAATATATGCTTGACTCTTTCTGGCTGATTACATTGTGCACACTGCCCAGTTGTATGTTTGCCTAGTCTGTGGAGCATATGATTAAGCCCTGTGTGTCCCATCCCCAGGTCATCATGAGATGAAAATTACAGAACTGTCCATTCTCTGGCAGTGTATCAAATACTTATTTGCCCCACTGTACACCTGTAACCATGGAAGTGACACCTGATTCAATGATTTGGATGGGTGAGTGAATACTTTTGGCAATATAATGTAGTTTCTATGGTTGTGGCTCCAAAGATCTGCTTAGCTCAAAACTCACTGATGGTACTTAAAAAAAAATGATTTCATTTAGTTGTAAGGTGTTTGGGAAACTGCAGTTGATGCTGTTAATAATATTCAGGATTTTAAAAAATCAGCCAGCATTAGTATTCTCTGAGGTTTTGATTTACTTGACAGCAGGCTATTAAAGTCAAATTAAAACTGCAGGTCCTACCATAATCTGTAATTTCAATTTGTGGTCATTTGCTAGCGGTCCTTTCAGCACCTTGTCAAGTGTTTTCTTGCTGTGTCAAAGCAATAACACAAGGAGCAATGAAAAGGAAGGCTGCTGTGAGTGTTGCCAAGCAAAGGAGAGTTTGCACAGCTATTTATACATTCATACCTTCTCTCATAGACACACATTGACAGGTGTCAACTCATTTGCCTTTTCTCCACACAACAAAACAAGGCTGGAAAGGACGTCCTCAGTATCCTCAGCATCCATTTCATAACAGCATCTATGTGACTTTGTGGGCTCATGTTGCCAACAGAAGCAATTTGCCACCTGGATGATAATTCAGTGCTGACATGAGACATGCCGACACCTTAGTTGTGCTGTATATTGTATATATATATATATGTATGTATGCATGCTGAGGCTATGTTGGTGCATCTTTACCACACTGCTAAATGGTACTGTTAACATCAGTGTAACAGCTCTGGGGAAGCTTGAGATCTAAAACGGGTTACTCTGTGAAAAGCCTGCGTATATACAGTATGTTATCTTTGTGGCATTATATCATTTGTACTTACAGAAATCTTTAAAACAGCAGGGTTTATATGTTGACAGCCCTTTTAGTTTAAACCAGAAAGGCTCACCTTGAAAGCGTTAAAAGGCAAGGTTTTTATTTGGTAGAGTTTGTTGTTTCATATCTAATGAGGCTTTGATTTACTTGTTCTGGCTGTATAGGACTGTTTATTCACATTGTGTTTGTGAGATTAAGATGGCATGCCCCCAGTATTGCTCATCTCTTTAGAATGGCTGACCACAAGCCATTGTAGACTCACTTGTCATCATGTACACACATGCTGTTTTCAATATCTCACCAAACATCTAGTACTATCATGCACACACATAAACATACACAGTATGTGTGTTTATGTGCAAAGACGTGGAGCATCTAATGACTTTGGGCAGAGGCCTCTGGAGCATATGATCGGTATGACAGATTGCAGCCTCACAGGGACATTAAGTGATTCATTTAACCAGAGAAACACACTCGCACACACAAATGACTCACCCCCCAGGATATCCAGACTTTTGTAAAGGCAAATGAACCAAACTTTCTGCAGAGGATGTGAGGTTTAAATGATCCTAATATATATGCGGACATTTTGTTTGTACCACATTATGACAGAGACATCAGGTATTTTTTTTCTGACAAGGCTTTTGCTAATAACACTTAAATTAGATTTCTCCAGCAAAAACGGGCAAGTAAACCTTAAACAAACCAGGTAACTGCCTGGAATTGCCCTCTTTGTGATTACCTAATGATACTTTGATAGGTCCAAAAACTGTATGGCATTAGATTCTAACAACTACAAAATCTTGATCCTGTTAGCCAGCATGGTGCCAGCTTAGTGCCTGGATGGTGCAGGATCATTAAATTCTGGGCACAGCCTGAACCACAGCACAGATAGTGGAGGAGAGGATAATAGAGGAACTGCATGGGAGTTTTCAGTCACTTTTAAAGCATTCTAAATGTTAAGAAAGGTTGCCATCCATGCCATTTTGGATTTATTTAAAAAATCTAATAACCTTTTCAATTTGCTTTTGCAGCAGAAAGTAAGTCTGCATCAACACTATACAATTTTTATAAAAAGATGTCTCAGAGATGTCAAAGAAGCTTTAAACTAGATTAATCCAATGTGAAATATTTAGAGGACTCCATGAACGGCACGCCAGGCTGCCTGTACAGTGCCCTGTCATGTTTGTCTCTCTCTTATGGACATAGCATATGCATGTCAAAGAGCTGAGTTTATGTATTTATTTTTGGCTAATCACCAGTTCAACATGTAATTTTTGTGACTTTGCATCTTCCACTTATGCAAAATAACCTTTCTCACTTAAAGAAAATGTGCTATGACTGTAGGCACCAAACTATTTTAGGGCTTTAGAGTGTCTTGTCAAACCTTACTGTACAAGTAGTTGTGACCATAATGCACTGGGGAAAAATAGGTCAAGCATTTTTGCCCTTTGTAGGTGCATCATTTATTCATTTCTGATTTTTTTTTAAGTGGAGTGTTTCCTTTGTTGGTCTTTTTGTGATGATGAAATTAAATGTTTGCATCATTAAAATTCCCCATCCATTTTGCTGTAGCTCACAGAAAGCATGTTTGCGTGATAGCAATGCAAAAACATTCTCACGAAATATGCACACAGCAAAAAAAACAAACAAAAAAAAAAAAACAACTCCATATTAAATCACAACCCTTTTTACTTGCAGTTTCTATAGGTTTTGACAGGCAGAGAGGCTGTATACCATCATTTCTAAACTAAGATATCACTGCTTTTAAACCCTGTGGCATTGCTTAGTGGGTCGGCATACAGTAACATGAACAGGCAGACTAGGCTTAGCAATTGAATTGCCTTTGGTAGAGCTAAATGCACAAAGACATTCATACTCTTTATTATAAGATAAGATAAGATGAACCTTTTATTAGTCCCACAACAGGGAAATTCACACCATTACAGCAGCAAAGGGATAGAAACAAGGCACTCATCAAAAGTAACAGGCAAGGTATCATAAATATAAACAGTGCAGCTATAAGAAAAAGTAAGACCGATATTGCACACTGGTATGCTGAGCTTTCCTAATAATAATCATAACAGATAAGGCTGTTGGACTCCTCATGACTGTATAATGGCATTTTGGTGGAAATCAGTATGAAAGTCAGTCAGAACTTCAGATACAACTAAAACAGTGAGTTGGGGCTGCTGCTGACTTAGCATTGTCATTGCAGGTGAACTTTATTAACTTTGCAGCTTAAGATGCACAACCTAACCTTTACATGTCAAGTTTGACATAATGAGATACAGTGCTACATGCTAAGCTAAAGGCAGCTGGCCTCAATTTTGAGTCATATCACACAGGAGATTGATGGGTCACTGATGAATGGAAAGCATATGCCTTTATGTAAATAGAGGTATTAATGAACTTACACTCTTAAAGAATCAGCACTATCTAAATCTTAATAGTGTGAATTTAACCATAAAATCTAAACATAAAATAACGAGACAATATAGGTCAGTGGTGACCTCACAGGGCTACAGGCGCTCACCTCTACATGTTGGCAAGTCTGGATCAGTTTCCCCATGAGCGACTCCAGCTCATTGTTCCTCTTGATCAGACTACTTAGGTTGGAGTCCAGGGCTTGCTGCAGCAAACATACAAAAAGAGACAACAGAGAGAGAGAGATTAATCAAAGTAAATACTAGGACATAAATGCAAAGAAACAAAAGTGGAAATCAGAGCCCGAAGTCAAAGGAGGATAAAAATGCAGCACATCTTCTGCCTTAGGTTTGTGTGATTACATGGACCAAAACAGTTGTAAGACAGCCTCAAGTACTACTTCATTAAACAAATGAAGTTGTAAAGCAAAAGAAAAAAAAAACAACTAAATTCTAGGAACACGGCAAAATGAGCAAGAATGTTTGATTGTTCAGCACACAGTCACCAAAGAACAGCAAAGAGAAGCAGTGTTTTCTCTCAGTTCTTCTGCACAAGCATCCTTTGGAGTTGCAGTGTTCTTCTCTATTTGCATTTAATGTCCACATACCTCTGAGCACGGCAGATACCCCTCATCCCTGTGCTGCCTCCTCATCCTGTCCTGTCTGAGCCTCCAAAAGAGGAGCCTACACTAGGAGAGAATGTGACTGGGACAGCCACTCCATTGAGCGCCAGCCAAGCGGCAAATTATGCATCAAAAGCTTTCCCAATGAGAGCACGCAACAGCGCTCTCTGCTAACAAACCGACAAACAGGTGACAGCACGTCAGCACTGTCCCATAATGCTCTGCCCTTTTTTGTTTCCCTCCCCTTTTTTCAGTTTTGTCCTCCTTTGCTGCTTTTTATCCGCTCGGGCACAAGCTGTCTCCGTTATATCAAAGACTGCCATACTATTGCCAAACCGAGCGTGGTTAAGCCGCTCTGATGCCACGTCTCCACTGTTCACCATTCAAAACCGTTTTCCAGACGAACTGAAGCTCAGACTTGGTGAATGCTGCGATTTCGTGCAGGTTTCAAAAATGGAGTGTAGGTGCATTGGAGCAGCAAGGCCGGGACAGCAAAATGTAAAAAATAGCTTCACAGGCTTTTTGCATTGTAAAAAAGCTCATTCAGAATGCTTCACTTTAAGAAAGCCAACATGCTTGATATGCTAGATTGAAAGTTAAATTTGCTTAACCTTTAACCACTTTTTAGTAGCAGTGTAAACAAAGCCAAGTACTGATGTTGTGTTGAGGATAGAAAGGAGTTACCCCAGAGGGAATATTGAATAAGCAGTCATGGCAAACACAGGAATGGTATGCTTTATGTGTTTTCTGTGTATGTGTGCATGCTGTATGGAGGCTTAATGGATGGCCTGATTACAGGGATGACATAGAAAAGCAGCATAAAGGTACACTAAAAAAGGAATATGCTGCTGCTGTTGTATTACCATCCATAGAGGGACAAGGACAATAAGTCAGCAGCTGTGTCCTGTCCATGTCAGCATATAAGCCTCCAGCATAATTAATGTGTGCATACGTGCAGTAAATGCAAATATAAACATATTTCTACTTATGTTCATATACAACATGTTCAAATGCAAACTCTGCTACTGTGACATGCACACAAGGGAAAAGCTTGAAACAACCACATATCAAGGATTTTAAATGAACTATATAGCCTGCAGTCTGTTTCCATGCCTGTGTGTGTTTTTGTAAATCTATCCTTTGTGTGTTGAGGTCAGATTTGGACATGAAGTGGCTGACCCACATCTACATGTTGCCAACTAAGTATTAATCCTTAGGAGCTAATCTGCCCCCACCCCTCAAGTTGATCACCTGTCAATCATCCTGCTTGTTTGTCTGCAGTATTCCTCTCTCTCTGTCTGCCTGTCCTCCTTTTCTGCTACCAGTCCCCGCCCAGAGTTTCACCCCCCAAAAACATCTGTCTGTGTAAAGTTAACCTCCCCCAGGCAGCTAATAAATTCTGATTATTCTGGGTGGTGAACACTGATATGAAATAATGTTCACAACCTAAACCCAGTCACATAAAGTAACAAAGTAGCCTACCCTTCTCAAGTACAGTATAATTTGGAGTGTCCTTTACTTGAATATTCATAAACTATAGTCCTGTACTTCACTGAATTTATTGGATATTTACAGTAATTTACAAATTAAGATGTTACATTCATCCTATAGAAGATTGTTTATTGCAGATAGTATAAGGAAATATAAGAAACTAAAGAAAGTTTGATTATAGCCACAATGTATGATGACATGAGACTTTGTGTACATTTCATCAGCTAACATCTTCCTATTGGCTTAAAAACAAAATGTTCTCTAATGTATTCTTTTTTTCTCTACCATTCCTCTGTAAATGAGTAAACCCCTTTCTTATTAGTATTGTGAATGTGTGACTGGACTAAATCCTCCTGAAGCTCATGAGCTAAGAATGTATGCATAGAGATCAGATGCGCACTCAACCTTAGAGACAGGTAGGCAACTGAACTTCAGATGTGCTACATCTTTTCAAGATTTACACTGACACTGAGTAGGACTGTGCTCTCAGCAGTCCTTGCCGAACTGCCAGAATTTCCCACCATTCTTTTCTTTGCTTATATGTAGTATGTATGTGCACTAGAGGGAGTTCAGAAAAACTTTAGTCACACAGACAAACTGTGAGAAAAGTATAGATAGAACAAAGATGTACAGGAGTGTGCAGAGGAAATGAGGATAGTGAGACAATGAGAGCTGTAACCACAGATTTAACTATGAATTAGTTTACCACTGCTTTACAGTGTGTCCATTCACCTTTACACACATCTGTACTATATTTACCTCTTATTGCTATGTCATTATTGTATTGGGTGTTCTATATTTGATAGAGTGCACCTGTGTCTTTGCTTTGACACCCAGTTTTACAGCTGGACGACTTTGTAGAAAAAAGGAGCTTTGAGTCAAAACAAAGCACTGCAAGGAAACAGCAAGGAAGGAACATTGTACTGGGGGGAGATTGGGAATGGATGGAGTGTGTGTGATTGTGTTTGATTGAAAGATATGAAGGCCCCAAGCAAAGGGAACACTCAGTACAGACGGAAAGAAATTATATTGTGAGTGCTGCACAGTGCACTGTAAATTCTGAAATAATAGCTTTTATTTACTTCAGTGGAAGAGGGAAACAGGACTTTTTGAGACAGGTTTCTTACAGACAGTAATAAAACTGGTGGGTTTATTAGAAAACCTACAGAAGGTGGCTTAGTCTCAGGGAAAATCAAAAGTGATGGTGCATTCAGGGAACACCCTTGTGCTTGTAAAGATCAAAATAACCATGAAGTGTTTCTCAAACAGTAAACCAAGTGGTCAGTTGGGAAGAAACTGACTTTACAACATGAGTAGTAATGCTTCACTTCAAAGTGTGATGGATAGTTAACAAAGAATTTAATTAACACACTAACCAAAGGGATTTATCTCCTGGCTTTGCAGGTCCTCTCAGCTCCACAAGGCCTTGTAGTGTCTTCATTTGGTGTTTGGGCCTGTAAATGTAGTGTTTTGGTTCCTACTAAACACTTATCAACACTGTTTTTAGTTGTTTTTGAATGCTTTAGGGTTAGGGTTAGGTTAAACTCTCACTGTACCACAGCTGCCCAGTTAGCAGCTAGCTGGGCAGCCCAGTGGAGCATTTAGCAGCTAAAGAGCCAGATAGTTTTGTCAGGAGTTGGTGGAGGACAAACCAGAGCTGAATGCAGGGTGAATATTGGTCATTGCTTTGCCAGGTGGGCACAAACACATCTTCAGTTGACTGCTAATGTTGATCATAGATGTTTCTGGAGGTCAGAAGAAAAACAAGATTTTTAGCTAGTATTGTTCTTTAATGATTTAGCTTGTCAGAGGTTAGTTTGAAATATGAAGGTGAAAATTGTCAGCATACTGTAATGGCAGGGACAATATTAAGGAAGGAAGTGTATTCACAATATAAAAGATGAATGACACTGCTGCAGGGCATAAAGGTAAATACTGGGCTTATCAGCCAGGCTGTGAATCAAATGTAATGTTTCAGGGCTACTCATGTTTTATTGTGGATGTTGGCACTTGACAACCCAAAGTATGTTGTTTCAGCAGTAAAGGACAGCTGATTAAAGCAAATAGACTGCTATATAAACACACAAAACCTGTGAATTGAAACCAGAGCTGACATGCACACACACACAGAAAGGGCAGCTCCCATCTTTTACCCTCTAAGTTCTTTCTCCTCAGACCCAGAGCCAAGGACTTTAAAAGCTATTTCCAGCCGCGTTCTCTGTCAATTTCCTGTGACGGGGGTAATTTTATCTCTGGAAAAGGATGGGTGTTCCCACAATAACCTCCATGGCTCTTATCAGACACCCCACCACTGCCACAGAAAAAAGGAAACTATTCCAATCATCTGATATTCTTTTTCTTCCTGTGCAGAGTGGGGATATCTCAAATTCCAGCAGATCAGGGCAAAAGGTGATATGCATGAAATAAAGATGGCCAAAATAATTTCAACTTGTCAGACTTCAAAATGAAAGTAAAACAGTATATCTGAGTGAAAGTAATGTTTTCAACATTTCAAGTTTAACTGCTGGGTTAGTTGACTGAGACTTTTTGCCTTTGCTGCACCTCCTTCCCCAGAGTTTTCTGTCTTTATGAATTAAATATCTTATCAATATTGCATTGCAGTTTGATTGTTTTCTGTGGTAATTAGCTTGAACAGTTTATCTCCTGCTCTGCTTCTGCCCTAATTGTCATGGAAAGCTTCAACTCAGTGCAGAATGTCTGCTAAACAATTTAAAGTAACATCGTGTGGCAGAGGAATTATTTCAATTAAAACTGACATTTTTCAGCTGCATGCAATTAAAGTTCACATTAATAAACAATGTAATGTGTGGGTTTACTGTGTGTGCTGTGAAATGCTGCCACCCACAGATTTTATAAAAAGTTTACTAAAATAAATTTAAGGTAAGTGAACTGACAAGTACAGAACTTGGCTGTCTACTTTGAAACAGAATCTACTAAGGCCGAGATGCATTTAAAGCTTCACTGTTATTGAAGATGCAGAAAACCAAGTCAGTCAGTGATAAATAAAAAATACATTTACCTTAATCTTCCACACTGAAACCGGGCTTGTTTTTCCACAAGGTCAGCAGATCTATAATCATTTCTAACTTTGTTCAAGCTAAGCAGCTGACTGCAGTGATGATAAAACTCATTTACAAATTTAGAGAAAAATTTAATCTGATAGAGTTAGGTTAAAAAAAGTTTTATCTGATGACATTAATATATTCTGACTGAAGCTTGTTGACTGTGACTTTATTGTGCAAAGCCGATTATATAACTAAATAGTATGTTCGTTTCAGGGTTTTTCTTTAATATCAAAACTGGTGCAAATGGCATGGGTATGGTGTGAGGGTTTTCTGGCCTTAACAGATAGTCCAGTCCTCCATAGCGTCTGGGAGAAAAGGCACGTTTGTTTTCCTGTGTGACACAGCAGGTGCTCTGTCTATCTTTGGATTAGAGTCAATATAGAGGTCAGAAGGTGGGTTTCTAGTTCATGTGTGTACAAACATGCAAGGCATGGTGTGCATGGCTGTGCCTCTGTGTGTGTGTGTGTGTGTGTGTGTTAGAGCGTGCTCAGAAGTTAATGATGCAGTCATTTCTGCTTTGTTTACTCATTTGATCCAACTCTGGGGTGGAGGTGACAGTGGTGCGGTGGGTAGAGCAGTCATCTTCCAACCAGAAGGTTGAAGGTTTGAATCTCGGTGCCGGCAGTCTACGTGTCGAAGTGTCCTTGGGCAAGACACTAAACCCACCCGTTGCCCCAATGGTTAGAGCCATTGGTTGAGTTGGTGCCGCAGATGGCTGCCATCGGTTCTGTACTGGAAACAAATTCCTTGTGTGTAACATACTTGGCCAATAAAGGTGATTATCCTTATCTGTTCACAGGATATTATGACTTATGGCAGTAAATGATTTATTTATTTGGAGGAGAATGTATAAAGCAGAGTAGTGTGCCAATAATTTAACTTTGAGAAATGCAGTATGTTCTATGACACAATATGTCATCATTGTCTTTCTGAACTAGTGTTGTAGTACTCGAGTCCAACTCAAGTCCAGATTTTCAGGACTCATGACTCAACTGAGACCTGAGCACTGATGACTCGGACTTGGACTCGGATGCAAATCGACTGCATTCAGACTCGGAAGTCGAAGAGGGGAACTCTGATGTCTTTTTCTTTTTTGTAATAGGCTACAATAATTTGGCATATGATACTGATATTAAAACATGTTCATTGGCATCATGCTGTATCCATGGCATCCACTTCCATCAAGAATACACTCTACCTCTCTGTAAATCATTTTAAAGTCTCAAATTGCCGAGCAATATGGTGATGCATTACATCCCGTTAACTGAATAGGCACATAAGTAGCCTGTATGGTAACTACTGTTGCACTGAACTGTGGTAAGTTGCATTCTCTCCCCAGATGAATGGAGGAAGAGGAGGAAGGGGGGAAAGCACAATAATTAGATGATGCACCAACTTGAATCTGATGCTAATTATTCTTCTCTGCTTAAATTTATTGAAACATGCAAGATGAGACAGTATACACTCAGCAGCTCTGAAGACAAAGGACATCAAGCCTATCACTGGAGGCAGAATGGCTTGAAAAATAAATGGTGCCAACCACCAGAGGGGCCCTAATAATAGAGGTTTTGATGCATTAGTGGCAACATAAGGATAAGGTAGCCCCACGGAAATAATGTTTTTTTTTCCTCTGAGGAAGAAGAAATACTACTGTCGATGGCTATAATAATTGATCCTAGTTCAGCTGAATGTTAAAACAGAATTTAACTGTTCAGATACAAATTGCACTTTACAAAACTACTAATTCTCAGTATACAATGTCATTACAGAGCTGCCAGTTTCATATTGAGCACTAAGATTTCAGTATCTGCATTGTTTTGTACCTTACTTTGGGATCAGTTCTTGTGTTTCAGTTTCTTCCATTAGGCAGGCCCCCTCTCTGAGGACATATTACAAACTATTTCACACTTGAACATCTGTTTCAAACCTCTGGTGAAAAAGAGAAAAACCAGCTTCTCACAGAAGTCAGACCATAGCATTTCATTTGCAAGGCTGAATAAACACAGTCCGGGTAGGTATGTAGTAGGTTCTTGCTGAAAATGCTCCCTGAGTAAAAGATGCATTGGAAAACTTAGATGTTATTTGTAATATAAATAATGTGTGAGACAGCATGGTTGAAAAATGTTTTTCTTGGACCTCAATAACATAGGGTCACACCAATGCAAATATTACTGTGTCCTTGCAGACTTTCAGTTTATCCCCGTTAACTAATTGCTCCAAAAATATATTAATTTATCATGTGAAAATGATCTGAGTGCCCCCTTTGATCAGTGGTTGATGCTCAGCTAGTTATTCCTACATTTTGATTGGTCAGTGAGAATGAGGATATTGGGAGTATTTTAGAGAGCAGCTGCTGTAAATACATTCAAATAGATTTACTGTATTTGTTTCCAAGACCAAAATAGATTCCATCGACAGTGATATCAAACAGAGAAAAGGAGCAAATGCTTTGAGGAGCTGAAATTTTTGTGCCCTTTATCGATAAATGATTACATCTCTAAAGCATTTGTAATTATACATGTTGTATATATTATGCTCAATGTACTAGTCATGTGGGTTACTACTCTGCCTTTCAAAACTGTTTGAGTAAATGCTCATGATGATTTCATCAGGGTTATTTCAGCGTGGGTTTTTCTGGAGACATGTTTTCACAGTAATAGAAAGTTTGTGTCACAAACCAGGGGTGTGGAGCTAGGATTTCTAAACCTTGAGTCATACTAAGGACAAAAATCTCAGTCTCCCTTGCAACATTTTTGGCTTTTTTTGTTTTAATCTGTGCTAACCCACACTCCAAACCGCATCTCTGGTGTCACACACACGTTTACCATGCACACATACTGCCTCTATGGCTATGACAAGCACGCTCGAATAGCCACGCTCAATTAAGCACACCTACACTCATCAGGTAGTTGGCACTTGTTAACCTGCAGCCTCATTGGAGACAGCATGCCACGTCACTAATGCACTCCTTATAGTTGCTGTGTGTGCGTGTGTCTGAATACCCTCCTGGCACACTAACATGGTGCTGTGATTATGCTAATTGCTTAATTATTCAGGAGAGATAATAAGTCAGCAGGAGATGATAAAATCTCACTTGATAATTGAGTGAGATACCCAGGTAAGGATAATGAGGAATTTTATACTGCAGGGTGGAATACAATTAAAGTTTAAAATTATTTATGTGTTAGATAAAGAGTGGAGGGTATCTATAATGTTATCTGTTAACAAATGAATTAAACATCTCTAAAAATGGCAGCCAGTTTAAATGAGAGCACCATTAAAACACTTTTAAAGATTACTATTGCAAGATCACCCCATCAAAGCCATATTATTTACACTGAAGCAAATATGAAAGAAAACTTTGCTTACCTTGAGTTTTTCATAGCGTTCACTCAGTGCTGCCACCTGGTGGTCCCTGTGCCTTCCAACCAGTTTGCACAGCGAGCAGATCAGCTGATCATCAGTGACACAGTACATGTTCACCTTTTCTTCATCATGCTCCAGACACTGGAGCCCTCTGAGGTGGGAGTCTGACATGGGCTCAATGAGCCGGTGGCCAGTGAACGGCTTCTTGTTAGGATGCGTCGCTCTGAGGCATTCCTCACAATACGACACCTCGCATGTCACACATGTTTTGACAGCCTCCTGTGGGGGGTCCTGCTCACAGAACTGGCATTGGACCGGTTCTGGAGGCATGCCTGGGCTGGACATAGCAGCACTAATGGGAACCAGTGCCAACCGATTACTCCCTTCCTCAATGGGAGAGTTGGGCCCGCTGTGGGGTGCAGGCAGCGGTAAAGGGAGCCCAGTTGAAGATGAGGCCCGCTGAACTCTGTCAATAATATTTTGCAAGGTCACGTTTCTCTTAAGGCCCTCTAGTCCACGCTCCGGACTCAGGGAAATGACATATCTACAGGTGGGGCACTGGAAGGCGCCAATGCTCTGAACAGATTCGTTAGTGGCACAGTGGGAGATGAGGATGCGGTGGGCGCAGCCAAAGCACAGGCTGTGGGCGCAGGGAAGCAGAAGTGGGTCTTCAAAGAGCTCCAAGCAGATTGGGCAGGTTAGCTCTGACTCCAGAGTGTCCATCCTGCTTAGAGGAGGCCAGGCGGGACCAGGCGTAGCGTCAGCGAAATCCAGAAGAGCTGCTCAGCTGTCTGCAGGTCAGAGACAGAGATGGGGGAAAGCAAAGAGAGTCAGAAAAAAGGAAAATGAAAGCACGGGGATTTGTGATTAAATGGTGTGAAACAGCTTACTTCTCACTGCCTTCTTGGGAGGGCTTATAACTCAATGGAGCAGACCACTGTGTGGACTTAAAGAATGGCAGTGTGTTAAGTGCCGGATTTTCTAAGTCTGTGTGAAAACTGAAAATAAAGCAAAATGATATTTTCAAACACCAGACAAAGTACTTTTAAAAAGTTCCGTTTTTTTAGATCTTTGAAAAACTGACAATATTCTGTCTGAAATTTCCACTTCTGTCCACAGATGCTTGCAACGTTTAAATTCTCCTCAGACAAAGCTGCTGACAGAACAGAATATTGAATAATGAAGGGGGTGTGTCACTCGGATGCCTATCTGTAGGCTGAAGATGCAAACCCCTTTCTTACTGGCTTTGTCAAAATAGCACAGGGTAGTCAAACCAAGATGTGATAATTGGTGTCGACTTTGAGTGGAATGATGGAATAATTATACCCTGATGTGAAGGACTTATAAAGAGAAACAAGAAAACAGCCACCTAGACCTTCCACACAGTGTGTAGTGCCAAACTTAAAACACTCACCAATGGCAACAAATCTATTAAAGAAACACAATTTGTAATCTTCCAAGTTATAGTGTGTATGGCAGCCTCATCTTTCTACTGAACATTGGAGTGCACACCCAGCTGCACCCTGAAAATATGCCATCAACCATCCATCCATCACAAAGAGGAAAATCTCACTAGACAACCGAGAAAATAGAAGACAAACCATACTGACTCTTTAGTGTACTCCTGGCCAAACATGGCTTCTGTTTCAGTCATGCGGATGTGCTATTGACCCATTTTAGCCCTCTAATCAACGTTAAATGTTGCTGACTCTGTAATTACAAGCAGCAACGCTTTAGTTTAGAGTACACTTGGGTTAATGAGTTTTGCAGCAGTGTAACTTCAAATGCTGTAGTTTTGTTAAATACTTTTCAAAGAGAAGTGAAACTATCAGGCTTATAATGGACAGTTAAGAAAAGATGTTCTCCTTCACAGTTAGAACCTGCTGCCTACATTATCCACAGTGCAGCTTGACCATTGACAGTACTGCCTTGAAGATTTGTAGTTTCATTGAACATAACTATAAAAATAGGGGCACCGAAGAACCTAACGTCTGGCATTTATTTTTTAACACCGTGGCAGTGTGGGTGTGGTTTCGATACAGATTCTGGTGAAGAAGTGGCAGCTGCAGTCATAGTGCAAGTATTCATTTATTTCTCCTGCAGAAGAGCTGAACCTTTTTTTAGTCAGACCCAGCATGATGTCAGTGCGTCTTCTGGTTCAAAGAAGGGCCTCTTGTGTAGTAGTGATGTCGTTGGTGTGTGTTCTGCAACTTAGCACAGAAGACAGCAAACATAATCATATCTAGCATAGCTAGATGTTTGTTTTAATTTAATACTAAGAAATATATTTTTGGTAAATATTAGTCAAATATTAGTAATATCATGCAGCCATTAATAAATCTGGCTTGGATCCTATTTCACTTCCACTGAGTTTCAGATTACTTATCAGTCTGTGCAGAAGATAGCTTTGAGCCTTTGACTCAAAGTTAAAAATTCACTGCCGCATGCAGCTTCTGTTTTCTTTGCCCTTTCTTCATGTATGACCTTAGCCCGAGGCCTGGTAATAAAACAAATGTCAGTATTTGGAAGGTAATGGGTGCTTAGCAGCTGAAAAAACCTTTTGCCAAAAAGAAAACCTTTTCAAGATTAGATGAGATCTGAGAACAACATGTGTGCCAAAGATTAGATTAAAAAAAATGTTCTTTTCCTCAGTCTGCACAACATGCAAATGAATTCTGCAGTCAAATCTGAAATTAACAGTAAATAACAATTCAACAGCCCATGATAGTCATGATAACAATAACCAAATGCATCCATTTACAAGGCAGGAAGGGCAACCACTCTGATCCTCACAGGGTGGTACTCTCAGCAGATGTCACTGTTTACTGAGCTTAAGGCTTGTGTGCATCTTAGTGGACTGCCACACTCAGAATATCCCTCCTACTGGTTCTCTGACAATCTTCATGCATGGTTTCCCTTTCATCGTGGCAACAAAAAGGAAAATAAGTGCTACAGATAAGCTCTCCTCACTTGAGCTCTTTGCAGTCTAAGCACTTACGTCACCTGTGATATTTGAGGCCAGATAACATTCATTTGCAGTGCAAATGAGCTGCGGAAGCAAAAAGTGGATAGAAGAAAAATATGCAGCACAAGGAACATTTTAGTTTTATTACAGAAAATCAACTGATGTGAGTCAAGAAAAAGAAACATCAGTCTTTTATTTCTAAACAAGATGCTCAAGCAATAAAAATATGAGCAGATATAGGGGAACAGTGGACAAAAACTGAGTGGGGAATATGGAAGTGATTCAGCAATTCCACGCTTCAAATGAAGAGAAATGGGTATGTGTTTGGAGGAACTGTAAACAGCAAATCCTTAGAGACACACACACACACACACACTCAGATTTACACTTGAGGCCTACGTGTCAATAGATGTTGATCCACAAAACACAAAGCAGTTTTCTAAAGCACCAAAGAGCCTCCCTCAAGTGTTTGTTTCCTGATATTTTGTTAGTAAAGAATGAAGCTTATTGACGGTCTAGTAAAACTTGGAAGGTTGTCAGGACTTCAGTGTGTCCTATTATTTTTGGGCTGTTGTTCGGTTTGACTGCTCAGTCTGGCTTGACACTCTTGACAGCTAATTTCCTTTAAAACACAGGTAACACCCAACTTGTACCTTATGTATAGCCTCAAACATTTCTGCTCCTATCCAAATGTTTCCAGTTTGCTTTTTTAATCTCTCTAGCCTCACAATATGAGCCAAAACGGGATGCCTGTACCCAGCATTAAGCATGGCACCTACTGTAGTCTATAGTAATAAAGCAAATACGAGTTGATGAAGCACAGTGACATTGTGGTGCAATTCGTCCCTGCACATGGCTGTCAGGCAAATAGCATAAACAAGTATTTTCCAGAAGCTGCCGAAGTACAGAAAAAAGTTCCTGACAAAGCTGGGAAAGTTCGATGTTGATGGAGCTGACAGGACAAGACGGGAGAGAAACCTGGAGGCACTGAAGGGTAAAGAGAATAAATCTGTCACATTCTGATAGAGACAAACGTATACACCAACCAAAATTTGTGCTTACAAATAGACTGAGATAGTCTGACAAATCCAGATTGGCAGGTGAGACAGGGTGAGATGCCTCCGACTGCACCATAGGTGACACTGTTGAACCATGCATTGTGGTGACAGAGCAGGAGAAGGAGGAGGAAGAGTGATGCAGAGAAAATAGGTATGAGAGTGGGGGTAAAGGGGCATTCAGGCTGGTGGAGGGCAGTGATAAAATCCAGACAAAGGTGTTGATTTTTCACTATTTTATAACTTTGTGCCTCGTGGCTGCCACTGTGTGTGAAAGGCTTGTCTCCTGTGCTGGTGCCACTGAAAAGTCAGTACCAATAGTGTTCAGTAGGGGGCAGTACAAAGCAGAGTGAGCAGTAGAAGAATCCTCTTCCTTTTTGCTGCATTGTCTGCATGTGACAAATTACTTTCTTACCCAACAAACTGCCTAAATAGTAGAATGAATATGAATACTTGAAAATAATGCAAAAATTATATTTTACATTGTTGCTTGTCAAAACCTCTGTGAATCCCTGAACATGGATGGAATCCCTATGATGTTTCCCATACAGACAACAATTTGTGTTAGATGATATGCGGTTCAGTAGAAGAATCAGAATGACATTCCTGTATCTTATTCTTCTCTTTCTATTGCTGACATTTCCTCTGCCTCTCTGCTGCCTGTTGCAGGACTGTGTACCACAAGTGCATATCTATTTCATGGAGTGCAAATGTCAGTGCCCTGATGCTCTTCTGAAATGTTTTATTTTGAAACAAAACCCTCTATATGGTCTCGGATCTTTAAATGTCAGTGAATAACCTTTTGCAACTGAACCTTTTTGTGTTCAGTTCTTCAGTTAGTATAGTTTCCACTGGTTCTGTGGAAAACAAATAAGCACGTCAGCGAGAACAACTAGTAATCTTCAGAAATTAAATCCTTCAACGTTTGATCTCTCTTCCTGTTTATATTTGAGTCCCCCAGTAGTTTGGGCTCTACTTCTAAATCTTTCATTAACTTTGGGTCCAAGGAGGTTGTGGCATTTCCTTCCACTCATAGTTTAACCTGTTAAATTTTTCATTGGAGCACTTTCTGCCCATTTTCTAAAAACTGATTTGACAAGAGTGCAATGCAGAGTGGCTCCTGTGGTTTGACGTAATACATAGAGCTGCTCATAATGCTCGTGTTCTGTTAATAATTGTGGAGCTACCCACGGTGTCTTCTTCTGATGCTTTCAGAATAAAAGCTTTTGAGTTTGTCCTCTGCTTCAGGGAAATATTATTTCATTTCTCTGTTAGCAAAATGAATATTTCAACATCATCATCACTTGGCAAATTGAGCTGAAAAAGCTGTGCCCCTTCATGGCAGTGGGGAGTGATTCCGGTGCCAGATTAGTCCAAGTAAATGACACAAAATCATCAAAAAGTAATTATAGTAAGTAGCCTACAGCAATTTAAGCCCTCCAAAAACACATTTGGGTAGAAGGAAGGGTCCATTTGGTGAGTTGACGTGAGCAGCTGTGGCAGTCCATGGAGCAGAACCAAGAAGTAGGTCATCCACACTGACCTGTGTGAATCACATAATCAGTACATAATGTGTGTGTGTGTGTGTGTGTGTCACTGCATGACTGTGCTGATCCAGCTCTCAGGCAGAAAATAGTAAGCACACAGTTAAATGTTGGAGCCAAGCGAAAGAGGGCAAAGCATCTGAATAAGAATGTAAACAGGATCCTATCTGCCTGTTGGCCATTTTAATGTCACATTTTCAGAACAAAGATACATCTCATCAAAACCT